CCTCCACAAAGCTGTGATCAGCCAGCCCTCTCACAGGAGTATCCCTCCACAAAGCTGTGATCATCCAGCCCTCTCACAGGAGTATCCCTCCACAAAGCTGTGATCAGCCAGCCCTCTCACAGGAGTATCCCTCCACAAAGCTGTGATCATCCAGCCCTCTCACAGGAGTATCCCTCCACAAAGCTGTGATCAGCCAGCCCTCTCACAGGAGTATCCCTCCACAAAGCTGTGATCATCCAGCCCTCTCACAGGAGTATCCCTCCACAAAGCTGTGATCAGCCAGCCCTCTCACAGGAGTATCCCTCCACAAAGCTGTGATCAGCCAGCCCTCTCACAGGAGTATTTATGATAGTTAGTACTCTTCTGGTAAGTATGACGTAACTGTGACTTGTTATTTCCTTTGTCACGGTTCCTCATCAAACACACACAGTTTCTGCTCTTACATCCTGTGAACTCTGCCCCTCATCTCTTTCCTCTCCTCCCCAGTTAAGACTGAGCCTATGAACAACATTGAGACTGACTAAGACAGGCGGCAGCACTGGACAGCCATGCAGGGGATTCTCTTAGGAATAATATTTTATTCAGCGCTGGAGCTGAAATGGACAATCAAACTCAACCTCTGTTACTGCACTGAATAATAACATTGCTACGCAATCTGAACTCTTGTGCTTTCTGTCCGTTGTTCTGAAAACGTGTGTATCGTCCTACAGTAGATTCCCTCTGCAGGACGAGGAAGGGACCCAGCAGGTTGTCCTATAGGAGAACGGCCCTGGACATCTGGTGGAGTTACCTGCAGGACTTACCTACACCACATCACACAGGATTTTGGGGGGACATTTTGGCTGAGGTCTAAGGGAAAGCTGCCATGTCCTTGACGTGATGATTTGCGTTTCCATATGGCACCCTATTCCCTACATAGTGCACTACCTTTGACCAGAGCCCTGGTCGGAGCCCTGGTCGGAGCCCTGGTCAGAAGTAGTGTACTAGTGTACTGGCTCCGACCAGGGCTCCGACCAGGGCTCTGGTCAAAGGTAGTGCACTATGTAGGGAATAGGGTGCCATTTGGTTAGAGGTGTCACTTTTTATTACATGTTCTATAACTGTCAGATTATAGTCTCTGTGGCTCCAGGCGTCTCTCTCTCTCTATATATATATCTCTATATCTCTCTCTCTATATATCTCTCTCTCTCTCTCTCTCTCTATATCTCTCTCTATATATCTCTCTCTATATATATCTCTCTCTCTATATCTCTCTCTCTATCTCTCTCTCTATATATCTCTCTCTATATATATCTCTCTCTCACACACAGTGTCTCTGGTGAGAGAGCGAGAGAGAGAGCGAGAGAGAGAGAGAGAGAGAGAGAGAGAGAAAGAGAGAGAGAGAGAGAGAGAGAGAGAGTGAGACCAATATCATGACATATGATCAATAATGGGTGTTGTAGGTAACGGTGGTCAATCTGGCAGGGTTTAACAGGAAGAACAAGAGTCTCAGAAGAGAGGGGTTCTCTAGTTGGACAATACTCTAAAAACCTCTCTGATCGCACGTTATTGTGTGATGAACCATCTAAATCATGTCACCTTTGGACTTAAATTGACACTGTGCATTGTTAATAAAAGTATCAGCTCATTGCTCCGTGTAAAATCACTACATACTGGGTTTGGTCAGCTCTACGGACATGGCTTGGTTTTTGCTCTGACATGCACTGTCAACTGTGGGACCTTTTATAGACAGGTGTGTGCCTTTCCAAATCATGTCCAATCAATTGAATTTACCACAGGTAGACTCCAATCAAGTTGTAGAAACATCTCAAGGATGATCAATGGAAACAGGATTCACCTGAGCTCAACTTCGAGTCTCATAGCAAAGGGTCTGAATACTTATGTAAATAAGGTATTTCTGTTTTACATTTTTAATACATTTGCAAACATTTCTCCAAACCTGTTTTTGCTTTGTCATTATGGGGTATTGTGTGTAGACTGATGAGGATTTTTTTATTTTATTATTCATTTTAGAATAAGGCTGTAACGTAACAAAATGTGGAAAAACTCAAGGGGTCTGAATACTTTCCGAATACACTTTTACTTTTGATACTTAAGTATATTTTAGCAATTACATTTACTTTTGATACTTAAATATATTTCAAACCAAATACTTTGACTTTTACTCAAGTGGTATTTTACTGTCTGACTTTTACTTGAGTAACTTTCTATTAAGGTATCTATACTTTTACTCAAGTATGACAATTGGGTATTTTTTTAATTGTTCCCCTCTAATCAGGGACTGCTTTAGACCAGGGACACCAGGTGTATGCAATCAATTATTAGGTAGAACAGAAAACCAGCAGGCTCTGGACCTCGTAGGGTAAGAGTTGAGTACCCCTGCTATTGGCAATGAGCATGGCGGGTGTTCAGCAGTGACGTCTCAAATGCTTTGAATGAATCAACACCTTGAAGAGCGCGTTTCACCGCCATAGATAGTAGGCTACGTGGCTGTTTACTCTGTCTGCTGCGCTGCTACGGTGTGTTGGACACCTTTTTTTTCTCATGCGTTCCGGTACGTCAGGCCCCCCGGATATCCCCCCTCTCTTTCTCACTATATGTTCCAGGACCTCCCAATGTACAAGTTAAGCACAGCGGACATGCATGGTCTCTCTCTCTCTCACACACTCACACACTAAGCAACGCGCATGCCCCGCCTACCTGAGGATCTATTTCTTTCAGCAATCTATTTGCTGTGTTTGAGGGGTGCAAAATCCACTTGTCAGTTAAATCTCGCTGGATTGATTGCTTTCATTTTACTCCTGCGGCTCATACTTTTGCTTGTGCCTGACGTTTTTCCCCGTTAACGTTACAGCCGCGGAAATGTTTGTAATGGCCTGTCAAACACACCCCGATAATAGCTGAAATGTGGTGAATGGAATACATTGTCTTACCGTTGAATCTATAAGAACTCTAAAGCTTCGTCAGGGATTTAATGCACGGTTTCGACACTTAAATCACAAGATCGTGTAAATGTTATATTGAATTGAAGAAAGTAATCATTTAATACAGTTGAAATGTTAACAAATTAGATGCGCTGAAATGAAAGCAACTGCCTAAAATGAACACTCGGATTAGAGTGATATCATGTCTGATCTCGCAAACAATGTCAAGTATTTTTAGTAGAGGTACAATCTAGAGCCAAAGATTGCCTGCTATTGACACACTAGTGCAGAAAAAAAACCTCACCTGGACCTATGTCATTTGTATATTAACAAAGTCAAGTTCATTGTATTTTATCTGACTCCATAAGATAATAAGGAAATGTGCAATTAAGTATTATGAGTCATAGCTGACTGAGATCACGAAAGGTCAGAGATAGTGAAATCAAATGCAAGTAATATCATTGTAAAATGAATGAACTCCATTATATATACTGTATTTAGTCAGCCACCAATTGTGCAAGTTCTCCCACTTAAAAAGATGAGAGAGGCCTGTAATTTTCATCATAGGTACACGTCAACTATGACAGACAAATTGAGAAAAAAAAATTCCAGAAAATCACATTGTAGGATTTTTAATGAATTTATTTGCAAATTATGGTGGAAAATAAGTATTTGGTCACCTACAAACAAGCAAGATTTCTAGCTCTCACAGACCTGTAACTTCTTCTTGAAGAGGCTCCTCTGTCCTCCACTCGTTACCTGTATTAATGGCACCTGTTTGAACTTGTTATCAGTATAAAAGACACCTGTCCACAACCTCAAACAGTCACACTCCAAACTCCACTATGGCCAAGACCAAAGAGCTGTCAAAGGACACCAGAAACAAAATTGTTGACCTGCACCAGGCTGGGAAGACTGAATCTGCAATAGGTAAGCAGCTTGGTTTGAAGAAATCAACTGTGGGAGCAATTATTAGGAAAAGGAAGACATACAAGACCACTGATAATCTCCCTCGATCTGGGGCTCCACGCAAGATCTCACCCCGTGGGGTCAAAATGATCACAAGAACGGTGAGCAAAAATCCCAGAACCACACGGGGGGACCTAGTGAATGACCTGCAGAGAGCTGGGACCAAAGTAACAAAGCCTACCATCAGTAACACACTACGCCGCCAGGGACTCAAATCCTGCAGTGCCAGACGTGTCCCCCTGCTTAAGCCAGTACAGGTCCAGGCCCGTCTGAAGTTTGCTAGAGTGCATTTGGATGATCCAGAAGAGGATTGGGAGAATGTCATATGGTCAGATGAAACCAAAATAGAACTTTTTGGTAAAAACTCAACTCGTCGTGTTTGGAGGATAAAGAATGCTGAGTTGCATCCAAAGAACACCATACCTACTGTGAAGCATGGGGGTGGAAACATCATGCTTTGGGGCTGTTTTTCTGCAAAGGGACCAGGACGACTGATCCGTGTAAAGGAAAGAATGAATGGGGCCATGTATCGTGAGATTTTGAGTGAAAACCTCCTTCCATCAGCAAGGGCATTGAAGATGAAATGTGGCTGGGTCTTTCAGCATGACAATGATCCCAAACACACCGCCCGGGCAACGAAGGAGTGGCTTCGTAAGAAGCATTTCAAGGTCCTGGAGTGGCCTAGCCAGTCTCCAGATCTCAACCCCATAGAAAATCTTTGGAGGGAGTTGAAAGTCTGTGTTGCCCAGCGACAGCCCCAAAACATCACTGCTCTAGAGGAGATCTGCATGGAGGAATGGGCCAAAATACCAGCAACATTGTGTGAAAACCTTGTGAAGACTTACAGAAAACATTTGACCTGTGTCATTGCCAACAAAGGGTATATAACAAAGTATTGAGAAACTTTTGTTATTGACCAAATACTTATTTTCCACCATCATTTGCAAATAAATTCATTAAAAATCCTACAATGTGATTTTCTGGATTTTTTTTCTCATTTTGTCTGTCATAGTTGACGTGTACCTATGATGACAATTACAGGCCTCTCATCTTTTTAAGTGGGAGAACTTGCACAATTGGTGGCTGACTAAATACTTTTTCCCCAACTGTATAAGGACAAATCATAAAGCTACAAGGTAATATTATCAAAGTATTGTAGGCATGGTTATCAATCAATCAACCAATAAATCAATAAAATAATTAATCAATAGTTAGCAGAAAGTGGACAGAAAGTCCCCACTCACAGTGGGGGAAAAAAAAGCACATCTATTCAGCCAATCAGTGGGTTCAGGAAGTGGTCTTACAGCCAATGAATGAGCTGGAGGAGCAGCACGGTCACCATGGCACTTCCAGCAGCCTGACAGGAAGCTCCTGAGGAGGGAAACAGACGTTTAGGCTGTGTTTACACAGGCAGCCCAATTCTGATATTTTGCCAATTATTTAGCATGTCTGATACATATCTGATCTTTTCCCCCAATGTGTAAACAGCAAAAAACGACATGAGTTCATTCATATGTGGATCTCAATCCTGATACAATTCCCATCCTCCATATGTAAGGACGCTCAGATCCGATTTGCTTTACACTAAAATGTTGTTACACATTACATACCGTTACCAAGACAACCACCCCAAAGTTGAAAGGAACAGAGAGAGGAAATGAGCATTGCATCTGCGGGCCATTTCAGAGGCTACATCAGTGTGAATGAGCAAATCTGGGAGGAGGATGAGAGGTTGGAGGAGGAGAGCGTAGAGGCAGGAGGGCAAATACATCAACCAATCAACCAATCAATCAACCAATCAATCAACCAATCTACCTACCTATCATTTTGAACAAGTTCAGATAGTACCTCCCTGTTTTTTTTTCTGTTTCATGTCTACTGAACAGAACTCTGGGTTAACAGGACCTTCTCTATTTTCCCTCTAGGTCTCTCCAACTCTGTTCCTGGAGAGCTACCATCCTGTAGGTTTTCACTCCAACCCTGTTCCTGGAGAGCTACCCTCCTGTAGGTTTTCACTCCAACCCTTTTCCTGGAGAGCTACCCTCCTGTAGGTTTTCACTCCAACCCTTTTCCTGGAGAGCTACCCTCCTGTAGGTTTTCGCTCCAACCCTGTTCCTGGAGAGCTACCCTCCTGTAGGTTTTCGCTCCAACCCTAATCTAGTGCACCTCATTCTAATAATTCTCTAGTTGATAAGATGAATCAGGTTAGTTACAACTGGGGTTGGAGTGAAAACCTACAGGAGGCAGGCTCTCCATGAGCAGGGTTGGAGAGCCCTGCTCTATGTAAGCAGTATGGGGGGTGGAATAATTCAAAATTCAACTATAGAATTGACACATCGTATAATGAAATCTTTGTGCAAGTAATGGGCTGTGTCGAGTTAACAAATAACAGAGACACACCTCCAATGTCAAAATCCCAATGCTTGTATTGAGCAATACCAATGATTATGTGAAAGCTCATATCACGTTTCAGCTATGGGGCTTCTATTCTGCCTTAGTGTTTCCAGGCTGTGATGCTCCTCCTCCATTCCAGAGATGAGCTTTTCATTACGAGGAGATCACGGTCACACAGGTAGGGGGAGCGCTATTCATTACACAGGTAGGGGGAGCGCTATTCATTACACAGGTAGGGGGAGCGCTATTCATTACACAGGTAGGGGGAGCGCTATTCATTACACAGGTAGGGGGAGCGGTATTCATTACACAGGTAGGGGGAGCGCCATTCATTACACAGGTAGTGGGAGCGCTATTCATTACACAGGTAGGGGGAGCGCTATTCATTACACAGGTAGGGGGAGTGCCATTCATTACACAGGTAGGGGGAGCGCTATTCATTACACAGGTAGGGGGAGCGCTATTCATTACACAGGTAGGGGGAGCGCTATTCATTACACAGGTAGGGGGAGCGCTATTCATTACACAGGTAGGGGGAGCGCTATTCATTACACAGGTAGGGGGAGCGCCATTCATTACACAGGTAGGGGGGAGCGCTATTCATTACACAGGTAGGGGGAGCGCTATTCATTACACAGGTAGGGGGAGCGCTATTCATTACACAGGTAGGGGGAGCGCTATTCATTACACAGGTAAGCGGAGCGCTATTCATTACACAGGTAGGGGGAGCGCTATTCATTACACAGGTAGGGGGAGCGCTATTCATTACACAGGTAGGGGGAGCGCTATTCATTACACAGGTAGGGGGAGCGCTATTCATTACACAGGTAGGGGGAGCGCTATTCATTACACAGGTAGGGGGAGCGCTATTCATTACACAGGTAGGGGGAGCGCTATTCATTACACAGGTAGGGGGAGCGCCATTCATTACACAGGTAGGGGGAGCGCTATTCATTACACAGGTAGGGGGAGCGCTATTCATTACACAGGTAGGGGGAGCGCTATTCATTACACAGGTAGGGGGAGCGCTATTCATTACACAGGTAGGGGGAGCGCTATTCATTACACAGGTAGGGGGAGCGCTATTCATTACACAGGTAGGGGGAGCGCTATTCATTATACGATGTGTGAATTATATTGTTGAATAACAAACACATATATCCATAACTGGACCTTCCCGACCAATCAACCGACCTCGACTGAAACCGACGAATCTATCAACCATCCATCCATCCAACCAATAATCCATCCATCTCACCTGTGACCTCCACGTTAACAGTACAGGTGCTGTTTCCCAGGGGGTTGATAGCGATGCAGGTGTACTCTCCAGAGTAAGACTTCACCATGTTGGTGATGGTCACTACGGATCTGTCTTCCATGGTGTTGGGGGCGGGGGCAGCTTGGGGTAGAAACCAATCGTATGAGGGGGCGGGGTTACCCTTTGCACTACAGTTAATTGATAGGGTGTCGCCCTCTGTGATGTTCACGGAGAAACATCCAGGACACATAGTGATCTGAGGCTTGTCTAAGAGAGAGAGAGAGAGAGAGAGAGAGAGAGAGAGAGAGAGAGAGAGAGAGAGAGAGAGAGAGAGAGAGAGAGAGAGAGAGAGAGAGAGAGAGAGAGAGAGAGAGAGAGAGAGAGAGAGAGAGGAGAGATGAGAAACAAGTTGATTAATGAGAGAATATGAAGTGAAAACAACATCAGTCAACATCATGACTCATCTGGTATCTAACTAACAGTTGTACAAAATATGTGGAGACAGAGAACCAGATGGACTCACAGTGCACAGAGATGTTGAGGCGGTCTGATTCCATTACAGGAGGAGGTTGGGGTCCCTCTGGTCCCAGAACCAACATGGCTGAACACCACAACTGGGCCCCATCATCATCTCTACTAGGGGTGAAGTCCAGGGTATAGGTCCCATTCACTGGTGTCTTGATGTTGTCCTTGGAGTTCTGTTGTGTGCCTAATTCTGTCAGTTCACCACCGGTATTGACTTTGTAGAAGTTCACCCTGAGTCTCTCAATAGGAGCGATGTTCTGGAAGAGACACTGTAACTGGTTCTGATGCTGCTCAACCATCGGATCAGGGTGACTGCTATAGCTGATGGACACAAAGTCTGGAAGCTCTGTGGAGGAATGGACACACACACAGTGATTTAACGGTGCCATACTGCTGTATACATTCAGAAACACCAGTGAAGATAAGAGAGAGACGTCACTCACTATAAACTGTGATGTCCAGGTGTTTCTGACACTTGCCTCCATCTGTGAAGCACGTAGGTTTGATATTCCAGTCAGTCACTCTGTTAAATCAAAATAAATATTGAAAGTGCATTTAAAATAAATCAATGAAAATAAAGGCCATTGAAGCTAAATAACAGTAGAATCAAGTTAAAAAGGTGGGATTTTTTAACAAGTTTTAAAAGTCTCAGCTGTGTCTGCCCCTCTTACCTTTGGTAGCTCCAGTTTAGGAACTTCTCCTCATTGTCTGTTAGACCCACCCCTCCCTGGGTCGCCTCCCAGCCCATTTGCTGAGGCGGATCGGAGGTGCATTTGGCTGAAGCTGGGTCTCCATACTTCACCACCAGCCTGACAGGACTAACCACCAGGCACTCAGCATCTGGAAGACCAAGGTCAAGTTAAAACTTTATTGTTCTGTTATTGTTGATTTTATTGTTCAAACGAAACAGGACAATGATATTGTCTAATGTTTATCTATCTGCATGTTAATCAACCACATGTTACACTCCATAACCCAGAAATAGCCACACACACACACACACACACACACACACACACACACACACACACACACACAAGAAGAACATGCACACACACACACACATTCCTTAGCCTTCATCTAGGAAGGAATTTAGGAATTAATTAAGGAATGGAGGGAGAATACATTCCTAAAGAATTCAAACATTCACTGTCAGACGTTAGTTATCTAAAATACTTGAAATCAAATTCACAGTACTAAAATAAAATGTAAGGTAACAAAATTGAAAAATACCTGAACTAATAAACTCAACTTAATTTAGGTCGCTGCCCCCATTACCAAGCACCTGTATCACAACGTTGTACTACAACAGAAGTCTAACTTACCAAACACCTGTATCACAACGTTATACTGGAACAGAAGTCTAATTTACCAAACACCTGTATCACAACATTGTACTGGAACAGAAGTCTAACTTACCGGTGATGTCACAATACAGAAACAATAATGAAACAAGTAGACCAATCACAATCTCCATTTTCCCCCTAACAATCAACGAACGTCCCTCAGTAAAGTATTCCGTTATTCTGTTAGACGTGCTGAAGAAGAAATGCGCTGCTGCTTTTCAGAAGACCGTTGAAAGGGAAAGTATTCTTTACTGGAAACACCCCAATGACTCCTCCTCTTCCTCTCACAGTCTTCTATTCTCTAGAGCAGTGGTATTTAAAATCGGGGTCGTGACTTCGCGCGGAGGGTCGCCCCATAAAATAAAGTATAGGTTATTGTATGGGACAATAGGAGAGGATGGAGGTGGGGTGAGAGGAGAGGAAGAGGGTAGAGGCAGGAGGGCAGATATATCAACCAATCAACATCGGCATTGTCACACACAATAATTCATTGTCACACTTGTGCCCAATCTATCTGAGAGATAGATAACTGAGAGAGAGAGAGAGGGCGAGAGAGAGAGAGAGAGGACGAGAGAGAGAAAGGGCGAGAGAGAGAGAGCGATTGATAACAGAGAGAGAGAGGGTGAGAGAGAGAAAGAGAGAGAGAGGGCGAGAGAGAGGGAGAGAGAGGGCAATAGATAACAGAGAGAGAGAGAGGAGAGAGAGAGCGAGAGAGAGCGAGAGAGAGAGAGAGAGAGAGAGAGAGAGAGAGAGAGAGAGAGAGAGAGAGAGAGGAGAGAGAGAGAGAGAGAGACACATAAGGACAGTAGTCTATAATGGAGTGTTGTTTAGGTTAGTTTTTTTATCAAACAGAACCGGAATCACAGAATCATTCAAGAGTTTTATTTTACATTGTAGAATAATAGTGAAGACATCAAAACTATGAAATAACACATATGGAATCATGTAATAACCCAAAAAGTGTTAAACAAATCAAAATATATTTTATATTTGAGATTCTTCAAATAGCCACCCTTTGCCTTGATGACAGCTTTGCATACTCTTGGCATTCTTTACTATTATCCTACAATTTAGAAAATAGTAAAAATAAAGAAAAACCCATGAGTAGGTGTGTCCAACCTTTTGACTGGTAGTGTATATTCTCATATTCCCTGATCAATTAAGTTCACGGTGTCACCATGGTAACAGTTACTAGGCAGGGTTGTCCGGTCGCCAGGGCGCTAAACAGAGGAAGTGAATCTGCAGGGCAGGAAGTTGATTAGATCTGACAGATAGGGGCAGATTACTTCTGCTCTTTTTTTCTCAACACTTTTTTTGTTGTTGTTTTATTTTTACTTTTTTTGTTAAAATAAATGCACTGTTGGTTAAGGGCTGTAAGTAAGCATTTCACTGTAATGTCTGCACATGTTGTATTCGGCGCATGTGACCAATAAAATTTAATTTGATTTGATTTGAATCTCTCAAGAGCTCTAATCTGGAGACCACCTATACACACACACACAGTCATCATGAAATTTACATTGGAACTGGCGCTCTTAATTTGATTCAGTGGCTGGTGGTGGGGAGGAAGTGGAGGGAGAACTTAAACTAACAGCAAACACTGACACAGATATACTGACACAGGAAATGCATAAGGAAAAAGACACTGCCATAAAGACAGCCACACCCAGACACACAAACACACTCAGTTTCCATCCAGCAGAAACAACTAAACTACTACTACTAATACTGTAGTGTTGTCAGTAGAGTAGGTCCTACTAGACTACTACTACTAGAATACTGTAGTGTTGTCAGTAGAGTAGGTCCTACTAGACTACTACTACTAGAATACTGTAGTGTTGTCAGTAGAGTAGGTCCTACTAGACTACTACTACTAGAATACTGTAGTGTTGTCAGTAGAGTAGGTCCTACTAGACTACTACTACTAGAATACTGTAGTGTTGTCAGTAGAGTAGGTCCTACTAGACTACTACTACTAATACTGTAGTGTTGTCAGTAGAGTAGGTCCTACTAGACTACTACTAGAATACTGTAGTGTTGTCAGTAGAGTAGGTCCTACTAGACTACTACTACTAGAATACTGTAGTGTTGTCAGTAGAGTAGGTCCTACTAGACTACTACTACTAGAATACTGTAGTGTTGTCAGTAGAGTAGGTCCTACTAGACTACTACTACTAGAATACTGTAGTGTTGTCAGTAGAGTAGGTCCTACTAGACTACTACTAGAATACTGTAGTGTTGTCAGTAGAGTAGGTCCTACTAGACTACTACTACTACTAATACTGTAGTGTTGTCAGTAGAGTAGGTCCTACTAGACTACTACTACTAGAATACTGTAGTGTTGTCAGTAGAGTAGGTCCTACTAGACTACTACTACTAATACTGTAGTGTTGTCAGTAGAGTAGGTCCTACTAGACTACTACTAGAATACTGTAGTGTTGTCAGTAGAGTAGGTCCTACTAGACTACTACTACTAATACTGTAGTGTTGTCAGTAGAGTAGATCCTACTAGACTACTACTACTACTACTGTAGTGTTGTCAGTAGAGTAGGTCCTACTAGACTACTACTACTAATACTGTAGTGTTGTCAGTAGAGTAGGTCCTTCTAGACTACTACTAGAATACTGTAGTGTTGTCAGTAGAGTAGGTCCTACTAGACTACTACTACTAATACTGTAGTGTTGTCAGTAGAGTAGGTCCTACTAGACTACTACTAGAATACTGTAGTGTTGTCAGTAGAGTAGGTCCTACTAGACTACTACTAGAATACTGTAGTGTTGTCAGTAGAGTAGGTCCTACTAGACTACTACTAGAATACTGTAGTGTTGTCAGTAGAGTAGGTCCTACTAGACTACTACTACTAGAATACTGTAGTGTTGTCAGTAGAGTAGGTCCTACTAGACTACTACTAGAATACTGTAGTGTTGTCAGTAGAGTAGGTCCTACTAGACTACTACTACTAGAATACTGTAGTGTTGTCAGTAGAGTAGGTCCTACTAGACTACTACTACTAGAATACTGTAGTGTTGTCAGTAGAGTAGGTCCTACTAGACTACTACTACTAATACTGTAGTGTTGTCAGTAGAGTAGGTCCTACTAGACTACTACTACTAGAATACTGTAGTGTTGTCAGTAGAGTAGGTCCTACTAGACTACTACTACTAATACTGTAGTGTTGTCAGTAGAGTAGATCCTACTAGACTACTACTACTACTACTGTAGTGTTGTCAGTAGAGTAGGTCCTACTAGACTACTACTACTAATACTGTAGTGTTGTCAGTAGAGTAGGTCCTTCTAGACTACTACTAGAATACTGTAGTGTTGTCAGTAGAGTAGGTCCTACTAGACTACTACTACTAATACTGTAGTGTTGTCAGTAGAGTAGGTCCTACTAGACTACTACTAGAATACTGTAGTGTTGTCAGTAGAGTAGGTCCTACTAGACTACTACTACTAATACTGTAGTGTTGTCAGTAGAGTAGATCCTACTAGACTACTACTACTACTACTGTAGTGTTGTCAGTAGAGTAGGTCCTACTAGACTACTACTACTAATACTGTAGTGTTGTCAGTAGAGTAGGTCCTACTAGACTACTACTAGAATACTGTAGTGTTGTCAGTAGAGTAGGTCCTTCTAGACTACTACTAGAATAATGTAGTGTTGTCAGTAGAGTAGGTCCTACTTGACTACTACTAGAATACTGTAGTGTTGTCAGTAGAGTAGGTCCTACTAGACTACTACTAGAATACTGTAGTGTTGTCAGTAGAGTAGGTCCTACTAGACTACTACTACTAGAATACTGTAGTGTTGTCAGTAGAGTAGGTCCTACTAGACTACTACTACTAGAATACTGTAGTGTTTTCAGTAGAGTAGGTCCTACTAGACTACTACTACTAGAATACTGTAGTGTTGTCAGTAGAGTAGGTCCTACTAGACTACTACTAGAATACTGTAGTGTTGTCAGTAGAGTAGGTCCTACTTGACTACTACTACTAATACTGTAGTGTTGTCAGTAGAGTAGGTCCTACTAGACTACTACTACTAGAATACTGTAGTGTTGTCAGTAGAGTAGGTCCTACTAGACTACTACTACTAGAATACTGTAGTGTTGTCAGTAGAGTAGGTCCTACTAGATTACTACTACTAATACTGTAGTGTTGTCAGTAGAGTAGGTCCTACTAGACTACTACTAGAATACTGTAGTGTTGTCAGTAGAGTAGGTCCTACTAGACTACTACTAGAATACTGTAGTGTTGTCAGTAGAGTAGGTCCTACTAGACTACTACTACTAGAATACTGTAGTGTTGTCAGTAGAGTAGGTCCTACTAGACTACTACTACTAATACTGTAGTGTTGTCAGTAGAGTAGGTCCTACTAGACTACTACTACTAGAATACTGTAGTGTTGTCAGTAGAGTAGGTCCTACTAGACTACTACTACTAGAATACTGTAGTGTTGTCAGTAGAGTAGGTCCTACTAGACTACTACTAGAATACTGTAGTGTTGTCAGTAGAGTAGGTCCTACTAGACTACTACTACTAATACTGTAGTGTTGTCAGTAGAGTAGGTCCTACTAGACTACTCCTACTAATACTGTAGTGTTGTCAGTAGAGTAGGTCCTACTACTGAGGAGAGGAAACATGAAACAGAAAAAGTTAGGGCTCTGGTCTAATGTAGTATGTAGCGAATAGGGTACCATTTGGGACGCGAGCACCCTTGCTTTGTTCAAGTACTATTGACTGGCTTCCTACTCTGAGAGTTTCACAGATCCTGGCCTTAGTTTAACACTAAGTGTGCATTCCAAATGGCACACTATTCCCAATATAGTGCGTTACTTTTGATCATAGATCACTGGCTGGATTGTGAATGTGACACAATGGCACCACCTACAGGACAATAGGGGAAACTACATTCTTTCAAATCAGATCCAACACTCATATATCACATTTACATTTACATCATTTAGCAGACGCTCTTATCCAGAGCAACTTACAAATTGGTGCATTCACCTTATAGCCAGTGGGATAACCACTTTACAATATGTTTTTTTATTTTTTTTTGGGGGGGGGGGTAGAAGGATTACTTTATCCTATCCCAGGTATTCCTTAAAGAGGTGGGGTTTCAATATT